CAATGCTGGCGGGTGAGGGTAAGGAATAAAACAAAGATAAATAACATACAGTACCTGCCCTTCGGGAGCTAACGTTCCACTAAAATTAGCATGTACACATGCAAATGAGCGCTCCCTTTTAAAGTAGGATGGTTGACTTGGAGTTGAACAGGACCTTAGAGGTCAGGTAGGCCAATCCAATTTTTAACAGACCAGGAAACTGAGGCCCAGAGAGATTAAATGACCTGACCAAGGGCACACAAGTATTATGTGATGAAGCTGGGATTTGAACCCAGGTCCCTCTGACCCCAGACCTAGAGCCCTTTCCACTGTAACAGACTATACCCCAAAGCAATAACTTTAGGAGGTTATATACTTAGCTCCACAGGGTTGCCCCTGCTCAGGCCTACCACTTTTCTAGCCATAATTCATTTTTTGACCAGAGATTACCTACCATATCTTGAACACCCTGCTTCTTCACCAGTTTCCAAAGGTTTGAGATCATGTTCAAAGATGAAATCCACCCTCAAAGGCTAAGGACTTACTGCCGCTTCCCTTCTCTGCCACCCCCTTTCCCTCATAGAGATCATCTGAAAGAATGCTTCATGCTGTATGAAACAAGGTGGCATCAGTGGATTAAGGGGGTGGCCTCCCCAGAGAGCTGCTCTGAAAAGCGCATCCGGAGATCGAAGTGTTGATTTACTACTTAGAGAAGCACTCTCCTTGCTTCATAAACATGCCTCTCATGCCAGCAAGATGGTGCTCAACAGGAAGGGAGTCAAGTAATGGAACTTAATTAAGATTTCAGTTTGGAGCACTGAAGCCCTCACTCACCCAACTCTGGACAACTACATTCATCGTCTGAGAAGAGGAGAAAAAAAAAGAAACAAACCCATTCACTTTGATGATAAAGTGAAGCTGATTTCCACCAAGAATCAACGGAACAGACCAAATTCCTTTGACAATGTTGTTATCTGATCCTGATTTATAACATTTTTCCCACCAAGGCACAAACAATGCGCCTTCACTACCACCACCACCAAATTCAGGGGAAAAAAATTTCTGTGTCCCTATTTCAATGTCATTAGGAGAGTAACAGTGGAAAATGAGTGATAGTACTCATGTACATTTTGGTGACCCAAATGAGAAAAATATGTTTCAGCCAGGTGCATTCAACCTAATGAATACATTTTTCGCTGGGAGATACAGTTCAAACAGAAAACAGTTTCCCAATTAAGGACAGATTAAGCATATTGGTATTTATCTCCCTCTGAAAACTAGAGCATAGGAGCTCTGAAAGTCAAGTTAAAGTTTGGGATTCCAAGGAAGACATTTCCCAGGACGTTCTTAAGAGTGCCCCCTAGGGGGCACTCAAGAAGTATGGCTGGAGATGCCTTGGGAATCTCAGTCATTTCTGGTAAAGTTGTTTGAACTTAGGAATGTCCCAGCCTGGTACTGTTGGTAAAGTTCACTCCCAGGGAAATATTGTGTGTGTGCGTGCATGCATGGGGTGAGGGGACTGAAGGGGAGGAGGAGAAGGGTGAGTTTATGAGGATAGGAGATTGAGTCTAGTATTCCTTGATAGGAAAACAGGATTCTAGTGCCCTTGATTTATTATCCCAAGTTATCTGAGAAATGGTCAGCCTTGGAAAAGTTCTGCCCTTTGTTTTTGTTGTCTTTTATATGTGTGTGTGTGTGTGTGTGTGTGTGTGTGTGTTTTAATGAAGAGGGGGCCCAGCTGATGAAAACAAGTTATGAAATAACCTATGTTTGTGTAACTGGCTAGATTGCGTAATGCTCCCTCCCAGAGACCGTAAGTGTTGAGAAGAGAGGCAGAGAAGGCATACAGATCTGGGAGGTGTTTTCCTAGGAAAGGGAGGAAGAAGAAGAAAAAAAAATCCCCTAAAATATATAAAGAAAATGGTGAGGGGGGGAGAGATAAAGAATCACAGACAAGCAATCTTGGGGAATAAAACCATGGACTGGAGCAGGAAATATTTTTCATGCTTCAAGTTCCAGTCACATTCAAGACTAGAAGCTTAAAAAAAAAGTTCTCTGGAAAAAATGTCATTGTCCTGCATGGTCCTGTGCTAAGTCAACCCAAGCCCTTTGAAGGAAATGGGCAAAAAAGGATTGCTATTTGTATTAGGGCAACATGTTTGTTCCTAGGGCAACTAGGAAGGTTTGAACCCTGAGAAGGAAGAGGCTAGGAAGACGTGGCTGGGGGGAGACTTACTTGGAAAGGAACCACCCAACTCAGTTGACCCAGTCTGTTGAGACTGCCAGAAAAGGGGCAGCTGTCCATCCTCTTCCCACCATTCATGTCCCAGACTAAAGGAAACTAGGGGAAATAAAGTGATGGCGGGTTCTCTGGTCTACAGTCATTTACCATGAGCCTTGCCAGCCTGTGTCTCTGAAAGGGCCCTAGCACCTACTTGTGAAGTAACTAAGGCCAGCCCAGCAACCACTCCCTCCCTTCAGTACAGTTTTGCACAGAAGCTGCAACCATGATGGAAAAAACCCTAGTGACCAGACCAAAAAAAAAAAAAGCCTCCAGAACTATAAAAGGAGAGGGTGGCTCCAGAGCTTGTCTAATGCCCAAATTACCTTGAAAATCTCTCTGGTTTGAAAGGCGCCTCAAACTTCGGATGGCTGAGCAGAACTGGCAGGCCATATGAGAGAAGCACTATACCAGGTTATTATCAATTGCAAAACCTTCATGTGTTACAGCATGCTAGGAATTAGCCAACACTTGCTTGCTGTTTAGCTAATGAGTCTCCATTATGCTCGGCTGGAGTCATTTCTCTTCTTCCTTCCTATTGCTGTTTCCCTGTTGGATTTTGATCCACAGCAAGGCATTGCTTCAATTTCTATCATGGGCTCCAAGGCCTCATCAACACACATTACCCACCTAGGAATGATTCTTTGACTGCCCTAACTTCTCATTCCATCCCAACTAGGTCAGAAATAGGTTTAGTAAAGTGACTGTAATACCAAAGATGATTGTTCCCACTCAAACAACAGCGAAAGCAGATAGGGAAGAAATGGGTAAAAACCAAATGGGTAGAATTCCAAGGTGGTCTGCTCTAGAGCTGGGGGAATTTGAGATTGGAAGGAAGGAGAAGAAAGGCAGAGAGCGCAAATGATTCCAGTCCAGTGGTAGAAATGGGCATGAAATCAATGGGACCTTTTTGACAAGGGTATAAACCTATGTAGCTCTTTCAGGTGAGATTTTAATTTTATTGGACTCAAGTAAAACAATTGAGTGTTCACAGTATTCAGAACATTGTACTGTACAATCTAGAAAAGGGGTGTGTGTGTGGTGTGTGTGGTATTTGGCTGTTGTTTTGAAGAGGAGGGAAAGCAGAATTAGAGACCATAGATGGGTCTACTAAAGGGTGGAATGTCACCAGTTCTGCATATCTCTTTGGAATAAAGTATCCTTACATAGGTATAAAAAAAAGCATTATGTTTCCACTCTTACCCCCCAAAGTTCAAGGCAGAATTCTCTTAACTCTCTTTCTGGGGTTCTTCCCACAACCCCTTCCATACATATATATATATATATATATATATATATATATATATATATATATATATATATATATATATATGTATATATGAAATCAGAAGGCTAGTCTGGATGGCAACCTCTGCTCTGTACCCTACAACTCTTCAGGAAGATCTGTAAACCTAGGTAAGTAGAGGCTACTCTGGATTTCAGTGGGTCTCATGACTTAATGCAATGCATGAGACAAGCCCATACATGTAAAGGTCTGTGTGAAGACGATAATATTCCATGGGGGCCCCCTCACCACCACTATCTTTCTGGTTTTTATAGGCAAGCACAGTTCCATATACACAATTGTTCTGACTTCAAATCAGTTGAGCTACTTTAAAAATATACCGAATTGCTTTTTTCAGCTCCAAGTACCACCCAAAAAACCAGAGAGGGCTCTGCTACAACAGCCCTTTCCCCCTACTTTTCTCTCCATTCTCCCTTCAATAAAGCTTTGTGGCCCACAAAAAGGTCCACTGCCAGGCCTTTTCTGGAATGGAGAAAACTCTACAGAGGAGGTGAGAAGTGAGAGAAACTGAAGGTTAGAGTGGACTCTTCCCAAGGTGGGCATGACTCGGGCTGAATCCCTTTGGTGCAGACTGCCTCAGGGAAAGGCTAGTTAGTTCAGCATGGGTCAGACTCTTTGATGATGAGCCTTTCACTCCTGCCATTCCCCAGACCTCTAACCACTTAGCCTCACTCACCTAGGCAGGCACATAACTGAATCGATCCTCCATCTAAAGCTAGAAGGAGCCTTCCATCCAGTCCCACCTCTTCATTTTACATCTGAAGAAACCAAGACACAGAGTGGTAAAACTACCTGCCCCACATCACAAAGGCACGAAGTGGCAACCTGGGATTAGAACCCAGCTCCCAATCCCTCACTCTTTCCTCTGTAGTATGCTGGTCCTCAACTAGAAGTAGTCCAAACAATATCTCCTTGAACCCAACCTCTTCCATCAAGGGGGTCTCTCTAAAAACATGGCTGAAGGGAGGGAGGGGTATCCCCACGGGTATCGAGCTATATGGCTTCTGGGGAAGGTAGATGTTTTCCAGGCCTTCCTCTGTCCCTCTGGGGTGAGGACAGGCGAAAACACCAAGAAGCCAGAAAGCTGGCCCTGGGATAACGTTATTTTTTGTAAAGGGATGGGGTCCTGGAAGAACATATAATTCCATCTAGGGAGAGAGTTGGGGTGATAGAGTAGGTGGGAAGTCATTGTCGGCGCTTCACATCTACATGTTCCCCTTTTTCCCCAGAAAAAAAAAAAGGCAAGGGGGTGGGAGTTCAAAGAAACGAGACCCCGAGAAACGCATTGGGTTGGGGTTCTTGGCCCAAAGACAAAAGAGAAAAAAGAAAGGCAGTAAAAAGGCTGTCTGAGAGAGGGGAGGGAGGGAAAGAGGAAAAGGAAGGGCTCGCTCCCCGCCAGGTGCATCCAGGAAGCCAGCGAGCTCTTCTGCTTACCTGCTGGCCGCCGCCGCCGCCGCTGGAATAAGACTCGGCGTGCGCTGGAGAGCCGCTGCTGCCCCGGGACGAGGTGTCAAAGTTCCCGGGATAATCCTGGTACATGATCCGCGGTGGGAGCCCGAGAGGAAACAGGGTGTTTGTTTTCCCCCACCCTCCTCTTCCTCCTCCTCCTCCTCCTCCCCGCCTCGCACTTGCTGGAGCGCTCTCGCCCCCGACGATCTCCTCTCCGGGTAGTCTCAGTATTTTTAAACCCTTCCCACCCCCCTCCCCCAGGCCGAGTGCTTCCAAACGCTCCCCGGGGGGGGGACGAAGAGTCAAGAAGCCTGAAGTCGATTGCGTTGAGCCCCGGAGTGGCGCGCTCAGAACTTCTGCCGGGCACCAGCTGGACGCCTAGCCCTTTCTCTCTCTCCCCAAAGTCCGACCCTCCCTTCGGGCCCTCCCACTCGCCCTCCCCCTCTCAACCAGAGAGAGCGGGCTGGTGGGGGCGGGGGGAACCTGGATTCTCGGGGAAGGGGAACGGAATCGATGTCCGCAAAGAAAAATGGGGCAGGGGGAGTAAAGAGAAAAAATAAGCCTGGAAACCGAACTAGAGAGCCCTGTCAATGGGAGCCGTGGACATTCAGCTAAGAAAGCTCGCTTTGAGAAACTTCTGCGGCTATTTCCTCCTTTAAAAAAAAAAAAAGAAGCTGAGAATAAACTTCCTGTGGATCGAATAGCCGCCCGAGTTTCAGAGAGGCTCTGACACTTGACAAAATTATAATAATCTGAAAAAATGCTTTGAAAAAAACAATAACAAAAACAAAAACAAAGAAAAAAAGAAGAAACCTTTCCCACTAGTCCGAAGGCTCCCTTCGAACACCACCCAAAGGGAAGGGAAATCTTTTTCCTTTGAATGGACACCAAGCAAAGCTCAGTCGCTCCTGCCCAAGTCCTCCTGGCTGCTTAGTGTCAAGCCCAAGAGCGAGCGGAGCTCTCTTGCCTTTTAGAGCAGAGCTGCGCTCTCCCTTAATTAGGGATCCTGACACTGGCTTCTCTGCCCTCTCTGCGGCACGCGAGAGGTGGCGGTGGGGCTCTTTTTTTTTCTCTCTCCCTCTCTCCTTTCCTGTCTTTCTCTTTCCTGGTTGCAACTGCAGCTCCCCCTCCCTGCCTCGCCCAGTCCCTGTCTCAGTGGGTCTCTCTCTCTCTCTCTCTCTCTCTCTCTCCTCTCTCTCTCTCTCTCTCTCTCTCTCTCTCTCGCTCTCTCCCGATGGTGCGCTCCGAGCCCCAGAGCTCTGCCTGCCTGGGATGACTCAGTGCAATGGCATTAGTTCAACTCCACACTTTTTATTATCCAGCCCCTTGTACCATGTGGATCTTTCACTCACGTCAACCCCCCAGCTCACCAAACCCCACCTTGCAGGGAGGAGCGGGCGGGTGAGGGGAGGGGAGGAAAGAAAGGGAGGAGGAGAGGAAAGGGGAGGGAGGAAGAGAGAGGAGGAAGGAAGAAGAGGCCTTTTTTTTTCTATCCCCTCCTCAGCTATAGGGCACTTGACACCAGTCGGACACCCTGGAGTGAGGAAAGAAGGAAGGAGGTGGCGGGGGGCATAGAGACTGAGGAAGGAGGCTGTAAGGGGGAGGGGGCAGGCCCGGAGCTCGAGCTTCTCTTTCCCCCCCTGGAGTGGAACGCACCGGAGTGGATTTCTGGCACTTCTTCCCCCCACCCCCACCACTTCCCCCCGTGCTCGCTTTGGTCTGTTCCATTGGCGCACTTTGCCAAAGATGGTCATTTGCGTTGAAGGACGTGAGTGCGGGTTTCCTTGGTTAGGGTGACGTGGTGGGAGAGGGATTCCCTAGCTCCCTAGCTTACCAGAGGCTTCAGAACTCCACTTAAAGGGGAACTGGGGCGAGAGAACACAGAGAGGGGCCTCGTCGGACCAGGTTTCGGCTTAGCCTTTCTTTTCTTGTTTTAATTACAGTGACAAAGGACACTTAGGGAACGTTGTGAGGCGCGGCCGAGAGATCTGTCTGGTGCCTGACTGCCTGCTGTGTTCAGGGACACTGAGAGGTGGAGGTCCAAAGACCAAAGCATTTTGCAGCCCTGGGTGGGGCCGGGGACTGGTTCACTGGGGGCGCTCCCAGTGTGCTGTTCTTGGCCCGGCGGAACGCAGTAGAACCTGGGTGCCGGGTTTAGTGTTGCCAGCTGCTTGCAGCTGGATTGACTTCTTCCTAGAATCCTCAAAGATGGAATGAATGATTCTAATGACATCCCTGTTGCTTCAATGCAGTACAATTAGAACGTATCTGATACGTGCTAATAATACGTCATAAGCAAATCCCAAACTATAATTGATGGGGGGGGAGGATGTGAGAGTAAAAGGAAGGGTGTAGACTAGGTCATGTCCTCGTCTCTTTTCTCCAAAGAGCAAGACGTTGGGAGCTTGGGCTGTTGGGCTGAAATGCTCTCTTGATTCCCTGGGCCTGAATATCTGTGGTTCGGTGGTATGCGAACATTAGTAGTCGCGTCTGTAGTCATTCGAATCCCAGATCTGCCGCTGATTGGCTGTGTGGCCTTGGACATGTCACTTCACTTTTCTGAGTCTCCGTTTCCCAATTTAAGGTCCCTTTCAGTCTCTAATCAATTGAGATATTTGTAAAGGGCTCAGCTCGGTGCCTGGCACTTAATAGGCGCTCTTTAAACGATTCCTTAGTTTTTTCGTGACAAGGTGTCTTTATTCGTGCAAGGTGTATGATGGGGGGGAGAGGAGGGGAAGGGAAAGTGTCTTCATAGAGCTTGGGCCTTCGGACTCTGTCCGGAGCAATCTCTTGGACGCCAGGTCGGGAGCATTTAAACCTTTCCCCAGCCGCTGAAACCTAGGAAAAAGGCCCAGCGCTCCCTCACGGCTGTTGTTTACATTTCTAACGCACACTTAGTCCCATCCGAGGCCAGCTTGGGGCGGGCCTCGGCCGTGCCTCTGCCCCTGACCCAGCCAGCTCTGAGACAGTGCTTCTCGTCTCCTCCTACCCAGGCTAAAGCACGCTTGGAAGGAGGCAAGCCAGGTCTCCGAGCTTGCAGGGGGAGGAGGAGAGATGTCAGCGGCAGTGGAAACAAAGGTTTAGGGGTTTACTTGTGTTTTGTTTCTTGCTTGTGTTTGGTTTGGCTTTTTGGCCTCGCCGGCTTATTTATTTATGCAACTTTCCCAGAAGGATGAGTAAATGCAGATCTTTGACGCAAAACGGATCAGATCCTTCATCCGCAGCAAACCCCGAAAGCTCAGGGCGGGGGGTAGCGGAGAAAAAACAATCGCGATTTTTCCACTCACCTCCCCGCCCTCGTTCCCCTCCTGCCACCAGCGCCTAGCCTAGTCCCGGGTAACAGCAGCAGAAACTGTTTTCCCACCCAGACCCTACCAAATTCATGGAGGTGGGGTGGGTGGGAGGAGAGCGAAGGAAGGGCTTGGGACTAAGGCTGTCCTCCGGTCCAAGCACTTGTCTCATCCCCTTCCCAATGCCGCTCGAGAGACGGCAGACCATGATCACTTTTAGTTTTGCTTTAGTTTTCCGATTCTTCAAGACAGAAGCTCTTCCCCGTGGGATCCCCGCCCCCACCTCCACGTTCAAAAAGCTTCACGTTGCGTGGTCTCACCCACGCACCCTTTCCAGTCATACCTGGGAGGGGGAAAGCTTCCTCTCAGGCTGCAACTGGAGCTTGACGGAGAACTCGAGCTGGATGCTGCGCCCCCTGACTCGAACCGTTCCCTCCCAGACGTTGTCTCTCAAGCCCACCCTCTGCTTCTATCTCGCCTTCCCCCCGCCCGCCCCAGTCCTTTTCCTTTCTTGCGGGTTCCGGTAAAGTCCCAGACACGTCTGCAGAGCATCATGGAACTGGTGCTGATGCAGCCTTCAAGCAGCCCCTTTGTCCCCCCAGGTAGAGTTCAGATGAGAAGCCTTCCATGGCTCCCCATTGCTCATTAAGTAAAGCCCAAGCTCTCCATAGCCTTGGTATAGCTATAACCTGTTTTCAGACCAACATCTCTCTGCTCCCCCACACTACTTTGGCACTCCAGACGGACTGGATTACTCGGTAGCCTCCATATTCATCTTGCACTTTACCACACCTGTTCTTTTGCTGGTGCCCTTTCTTCCCCACTGACTATTTTCTCCCATGTAGAGCTAATCATCTCAACCATAAGGGATCCCATCTCAGCTCAGAACCCTCAAAGAAGTTTGCTTGTATCGCCTTTATAGCACTTAGGGAATGTTGCCTAGTATTTTAGTTGTTTGTATACAGTAAAGGAACATACTGCATAAATTTGACCCAACCTAATTAATACATTATAAGCAAATCATACTTTAATTCCACAGATTGCTCATCATTTAGGAGGTTGTTGTGAAACTTAAAAGACAATAGACCTGCAAACTTTAAAGGGTTATGTAAACATCGGCTATTATTAGAACATTGTTCCCATAATCAAACTGACATACAAATGTTATTATGTTTGAGCCTTTCAATAACCCTGGGAGGTACTTATTACAGGCATTATTATCTCCATTCTACAAATAACTGAAGTTCAAAGAGTTTAAGTGACTTGCCCAAAGTCACACAGCTAGAAAATACCAGAAGTAGGATCCTTGCCTTTAAGTCCAATACTCTGATTATAAAATCCTTATGAGTAAAGATTGTCTTTTTTAAAAAAATTCTTCACAACTCCTAGCCAGTTTAGCTCAAACAAGGTATTCAATAATTTGTTGAATGAATGAATAACTTTCTTCTTTAAGTCTCAGCTGAAGGAGTATATGGGCTAAGGAGGAAACAGAACTGGGAAACAGTGACTTCTCATCAGCTTTCTTCAAATTGACCTAAAGTCGTAGAATGGTAGACTTGTAAGGTCCTTTGCATATCTGTTTGCCCTCCATACTTTCCAAATGGGGAAACTGAGGTCCAGAGAAAGGAAGTGATTTGTCATATCACACAGTGAGTCAGTGGCAGAGCTGGAACTAGAATGAAGGTCTCCTGACTTCTGTGGACTTTACTGGCTCCTGTCATTCTCACTGCCCAGACTAAATTAACTCAATTGTCCACCCAGGGTAACATTTGGTCTCTGGCAGATGCACCAAGGAATGGTGTGTTCTCAGCATGACAGTTGTTGTTCATAACATAGATCTCAGAAACATGGCCCAAACATTTCTACATCTTCCTAATAATAAAATCTTGTCCATTTCTCATCCCTGAATTTTTCTCCATCCTTCTTGAAGCTATGTATGCTCTTTTTTTTTTGTTTATTTTCTACCAAAAGGGAAAGGTTTCTCTCAGAGAAAGATTTCGTAAATTACTGAGGACTACCTTAATCTGTCCTAAGCCTTCAGGTTCTAAGGAAGAGGGTAGGGCTTCTCAAAAAGCTGGTGTTCCAGGTTTGACCCACATGTCCTTTACTCCAAGTTCATTCCTTATTTGATGTATGGAATTGAAGTATCATATTAGGATTTAAAACTAGGCGGGAACTTAGAGATCACCTAATCCAACTTAAATCTCCTTTTACTGATGAAGAAAGAGACTCAGAGAGTCTCTTTAAGTGGTTAAATAAAGGTTAAGAGGTTAAATAAAAACTTTTAAAATGTTATTGAAATATATTGTTTTAATATCTCCTTTGTTTCCAATATATCTTTTCCTTTTCCCTCACCTTGAGAGCCATTTTACCTCGAGAAAGAGAAAAAAAAGCTCAGCAAAACAAATCAACACATCAACCAAGTCTGATAGTGTATACAATGTTCCGCATCCATAGTCCCCCACCTCTACAAAAAAACAAGGGACAGAGGTTCTTTTCTCATCTTTTCTTATGGCCCCAGCTTGGTCATTTTAATTACACAAGATTCTGTTTAATTTAAAAA